AAGAAAAACTTTAATATAAGTTTAACATAACAGCAAATGTACAATGTTTCGACTAAGGTTTTGTCATCATCAGGTACCCATTCAAGCCGTCTCAAAGTGGGTTCCTCGTCATCAAATTTGAAAGACTACTTCAGTTGCTATTGTTAAGAAATCTTGAAATTAAAAACCTGAAGTTCAGTTAAGTTACAGAAACGCAGCTTCTAAGGAATTCTCAACTTTGTGCTTTTGTCGTCTGTTGAAAATGGTTAATAATGATAATGAGTAAATACTTAGGCAGTAAAAATTATATATAATTATACTGTGTTTTTGTAGGGCGTTACAGCTTCCTCCTGAAGCATGGTTAAGGTTTTCACTTCACAATTGTAGCATCTCTTGGATAGTTATTCAACCAAGTGGACGAGTTGTTGCCTACACAGTTGGAGATATTGGTCACATGCCAACTGACAAAATGTCGACATCTTGACTTTTTTGAATATTTATAGAGTATGTAGAAAAATTTGAATTTCTTAAACATTGTAATTTTATTTCTAATTTCTTCCCAAAACAACGTATATATATCTGATGTACAATTCAAAAGAAAGAATTGTTAATATCAGTCATTAAAAAAAGTATTTAGTTAGAATAAAAGATTTTTGTTATAAGGTAAATTTTGACATGAATATTTTATATTGCATTTTTACCAACTATTATTTAAACTGGATAATATGGAATTACTTTGTGATATTTATTTGTAGCATGATGGTGACATTTTTGGTATATAAAGGAAACAACTTGGATAACAGAATGTTTCAGTGTTAATAATCATATTGCATACTGTAGGTTTATTAACATCTTATTGAAAATTAGTTACCATTAAGTCCAGGATACCTGATTAAATTTTTTTTAATGTTCAGTATTTTCATCTTACGACTCAGATGTCTGTGATGGAGGTGCAAGTTGAAATATTCGACATAAAAAAAGAAAACATATTTTCCTGGTTCTACTGGTCATTTATTTTCAATAAAATATGTTGTTCTATTTCTCTGTTTGCAAACCATATTTAAAAGTCGCCGTTTATGTCAGCAGTATTATAAAAAAAGTAAGAGGTTTCTGGTTTATAAACTAAATGCAGTTTTTAAAAACATTCCACCAAAAAAAGGATGTAAATATACAGTCTCACTACCTAAAAAAAATGGTCCATCCAAATATTTATTATTATTTGAATAAATACAAATATTTTTTTAAATCTCATTTTGGTTGAACCTTTTAATTCTTACTTTCTGGTATACATCTGTTTTTGTGCCTTTTTAAACTTTAATTTTTCAGCACATTTTATTTCAAGCCAATTCTTGTAATAGAAGTAGTTTATTAATTATGAGTCCCATACCTTGTGTATAATGCACTTTAATTTTTTCAGATCCCAACATGAAGTCAAAACCAGTTTCAAGAAAATAGAAATATATTTTAATAATTGTAATTTTGTTTGTACTACAACTCAATTTTTACTGTCCTTCATCCAAAATAGTTTCAAGAAAGTCCTCGAATACAGTCGAAGCTAAACTTTCATCATTGACAAGTTATTATTAAATAGTAATCAAATATATCAAGCTGTATAAATCAAAATAAAGACATCAGTTTCATTAAAGAAGAATATCCTGTGTTTATCTTGTCTTATCTCATTTGAAAGTTTTAAGTAATTAGTTTTGCCTATTTGTTTTTTAAAATATACATACTTATGTTAACGTTAATAACAGTAGTTTTGTGACCTATACGAATTCCCTGTGAACTAATTCCTTAAAATATTGTACACTTAATCCAATTGAAAATTAAAGGAAAAATGCATTATCACAACCATCTTTTAGAAATTACCCTTATATATACTTTTTATTTGACGTATTTAAATTACGAAATTGTGTATTTGAACTAAGTCATTAAATGGTATTTCATTATGTTCTTGCAGTATTTATTTGATGAAAATATGTTAAAATGGTTTGATGCAACCAAGTATGAATTTAAAGTTTGCTGTTCATTAAGTAATCATCCTTTTCAAACCAAATCTTTGTCTTGTGATTTTTAACATTATGTAATGTTATGTACAGAAAACTCGAGTGTTTGTGATTGTCCACAAATAATGAAAGTATGTACAAGTCTTTGTTAGCGTTTACTACTTCAGGTCATCCCACAACAATTCCTAATTCATACCATTAAGTATTATGATATTGTGTATTGGAAATCTTGCTGCTTTTGAAAATATTTCTCCGTGGAGAAATTAAAGTATCTATTTATATGGATAAATAACACTTCGTTTTTCTTTAGTTCTTGTTTTGTATGTGAAACTGGTATGGTTTTTGCAATGATAAAGATCTAGTAGTAATAATGATTTGGTATTGAAATTACAAAATCAATTTTTAATATAAGATTAATTTTCTTATTTGTTGGTATTTTAAATGTTTTAGTATTAAAATTATTGTAATATATATATATATTAGACTATTTTCTTGGTAAAACTTAAACATTAAAGAAAATGTTTTTAATCGGCTGTATTGACTGTATTTCATGTATTAAAGCCATGAGTAGTGAGAAATATTTACCGTTGAGATATTGGAAGTGTCTTGAAATGTTCCATTACCGTTTCACATTTCTACAAAGGTCACTGATGTAAATTTAGGTGTGGAACGTTAAAGTGTTAACAAATACAAGGTTTTGGAACGGCCCTTCCACTTGTGCAAGTTACATTATCTAAGAACATCTAACCAACAGCAGGATTTGGTAATTGAATAACTAAATAATGGAGAAAAACTTAGTATATTCTGTCTCTGAGTGCACATTCAAGTTTTCTGTGAGATTTTTTTTTACTTACAGAGTTGATATTTTTTTTATTACTACTAGCTTACAACCAAAATACGTGTTTGTTTTGGTGAAAGACCATTAAGGAGGTAGCCCAAGAGTTGGCGGTGGGTGGTGATGACTAGCTGCCTTCCCTCTAGTCTTACACTGCGAAATTCAAAAACAAACCATTAAGGAGAAACTAATGTGAAGTCCTTCATGGACAAAACTTTATTTTATTTTATTAGAAATACTTCACCAAGAAATATGATATCATATGTGAAAGACTTGTAATATTAACTGACAGACTGCCAAGTTTCGTGAAGATATACCCGATATATTGAGAGTTATGAGTATTAAATTTATATCAACTTTAAACGAGTGCAAAAGGTCACGTGACTCGGTCAAATTGACCGACCCTTTGTTGGAGGACGAATTGTTATATTCTGAACCCTCCACTGTATCAGTAACACGTTCTACATAAACTTATTGCTTCCACTGTTCGGTAAAATATGTAGTACAAAATTACCTTATGATTAGCATGCTTAGACTATAAATCTGTTGGTTCATGTCTGCAGCCAATTAATAAAAGAAAACTACACACACTTTAGGGCCATTTGGTCTGGGACTCAAGTTTAGACACTTGTAATTTTTCTTTGGCATTTGTAAAGTTTCGTGACTTGTTTTTATATGCCCCCCTTCAAATTATATTTCATTCTTTTTTTCGAACTAATGATGGTCTAACTTTGTTTTTATTGTCGTTATTTATTATTTTTATTATGGTTAGGGGCCTCAAAAGCTGGAAGTGGCCTGGTTCTCTCGGAACATTTGAGAGGGACTTGCCATGGGTATGCTGTAAGAGTGATGGTCAGTTCAAAGTCAAGGACAAATATGTGCATATAGCTCAATTGTAGCTTTTGTGTGAAAATTTTGAAACAGTCTACCTAACCTGTTGCAATGAAAACTGCCAATAGAGGGCTATTCAGCTAACTAAAATACGTTTACGTCGATAGAGGGAAATTGCAAAAAGTGGATTATCTCACTTATCAGCAACGTATCTCACAGTAACAAATATTTTAAAAATATGGTCGTTTGTAGGTTATAAATCTTAAATTTGTATGTCATGAATTTCAAACTTATATTAATACTGTAGTTGCACATTGATTGTCGAACTCAGTCTATTACTGTGACTTTGAGTATTTCAGATTGTTCAAATAATTTGATAAAGGCAATTTGTTTTAACTGTAATCAAAAAATTAATTGTGAAGACTTAAAAGGTGGGGTATGGATTTGGCTAGTATTTTAAAATTAAATCTTTTTAGTTGAAATTAATTGTTTTTGTTAACCACCTGAAAATAATATGCATGAAACATTGTTATGAAAGAAACAACATGAGAGGGCGTGAATATTTTTGTAGCATCTATTATTGTACAAATAAAAATGTTGTGTTTATATTCTCAATTATGTTTGTTTTTGTTTCGAATTATTTTATTATTCAGTAGAACCGGATTCGTAAGATTATTTGTATCAATTTTTTTGTGCAAACTGACTGCCACTACATAGTGCTGGGGACATTTTGCAGCAACGGCCCCTAAACTAAGAAACCTTGAATTTACAATCCGACCACACTATAAAATCGTGGGAAAACTCAGAATATTGTGTTTTTCTTAATTCATTTGCTAGAAAACTCTGTTCTACGATTGAGCCTAGAACATATATCCCACTATTTTTCACTCAGTTGTTTGTAAATTTCAGGCTTGCTCTCTGCGCATGATTCTCCAAGGATGGATTTCTTTGTTCAACTATAATGATCCACATCTATACCATAATAGTTATCAATAAACCTTTGGTAGAAGTTCTCACTAGAAACAAATGTGTTGTATTTGACAATTTCCACTATCCTAAATGTCTACGTGTTTCGTTTCCGAATGATTGTTTCCACATTTACGAATTTCCTGCAGAGAAATTTGGTGGCTGAAAACAACTTGTCTTAGGTCAGCGTTTTCAACCGGTGATTCGCAAACCCCTAGGGGTTTTAGAGATATTTTTAAGGGGTTCGCGATTGGTAGTGGCGTCTTTTTTACTTTCATGGTTCTACAGTTCTTACCAATATTTTAATTTCCTTCTAATTTATTAAAATATTTTCGGAAGGAAATAGCTTGATGTAGAGCCAGATTTAAGACTATATCTCTCTCCTGTTGAGTCAAACAAGCTCAGAAGTCTCATTAGTTTTAGTCAAATGGTTTTGTTTTCAACTATTTTATGACGTTTCAAGAATTATATGTATTTCAATCTTACTTGGTATTAACTGCAAACTGATGACGATATCAGAGATTCAGATTTTACTGTAAACGTGTTATTAGTATGTGTTACAGAAACCTTTTATTTCAATAAATTCAACACGTTCAAAAGTTATTTTATTTTGCAAAATTTATTAGTCATTTTCGCTGCGAAAACTATTATTACTCCAGAAGTTCGCGAAGAGAAAAAAAGGTTGGGAACCGCTGTCTTAGGTAATCCTAACAAATTATACTTTTCTGTTTGGCAGAATTTAGCAACCTGAGTTACTTCGAAATTAATGGCCTTGACTTTCAACTACTTAAAAATCGAAAAGGTTAGAAATGCTAGAGCAATCAGGTATTATTAAAGTATCCATGACACTGATTTTTTTCGATCAAAATATAAATACTTGTAATAGTTATATTCCTGGGGAAATTAAGATTCACGACAGCTCGAGGAATAATTAATAATATTAATAGTTTTGAGAACCGGTTACCAAAGTGTGGTACGCGAGGCGATACCTGGTGGTGCACAACTTACACATGAAGTTTCTAAACAAATTCGGTGACGAGGAACCCACTTTGAGACTAATTATGGCTGGAGACGGCTTGAATGGGTAATGAAGAAAAACTTTAACATAAGTTTAACATAACAGCAAATGTACAACGTTTCGACAAGGTTTTGTCATCATCAGGTACCTTCATTACCCATTCAAGCCGTCTCCAGCCATTATAAGTTTCTAAACACTTTGTTGCGTCATCGAGGTCACGTGACTGGTGTGGCGCCACCTATTTTCTAGAACTATCCTGTACCTTGGCGAATGCTCTAGTATTTACTAGATATAGGGTAGCTGGTATATAAAAGAGGGTGATAACGTGACGGAACAATAATGTGTGTGTAGATAGTGAGTAATTGAACTGCAGTCAGAAGTATTGTTGACGTTCGTTGATATAGCGTTTGTTTTAGCGTGATTGTTGAAAATAAGTGTATCGTAAAGTTGTATTCGGAAAGAATAAACCAGTTTTATTAAGTAAGGATTTGTGTCGCTAAAGTTTCGTCGGAACGAAGTTACGGAAAGTTAATTAACAAAGAGAGACGTAACAACTTATTTAAAAAAAACGTGCATAATAAAGTGATAGACTTGAATACTTTGTCTCCAATACGCAACAATATGTATGACACGTAACACTAGAATTATAATGAAAGCCGTTAAATGAGTGAGACAATAGGTACGGCTATGGAATTCACTCCATTAATTTTATTGTTTAGCTTACAGGTTATGTATATGTGGGAGACGTGGTGGTACCATACATATGTACCTTGGAGGCAAGTGGTACGCAGAGGAAGAAAAATTGGTGAGAATCGCTGATATTGAGTTTATTTTTCAAAGTCATCTTCAAACGAATATCAACATCTCAGATATAAGATTGTTGGTTTTAGTGTTGTTGTTTTTTCATCTTTTAATGCGTCTTTGATATACAATGCCATTTTTATGCACACAAAGCAAGATAAATTACCTTAATCGTTTAAAGATAACAATTTGTGCTTGTTTTTCACTGCTTAAATATAAATTCATTTGGCTGAGCGTAGTCTAGTGGTAAGAGTGCCAGATGTGGCTCTGAAGCTCTGTGGTTCACATCCCATTATTGCTATAAAAAGATATAAAAATAGGATTATGAGTTCATTATAAGAGTGATGGTCAAATCCCATTATTCAGTCTGACAATATTTAGCAATGGGAGTTGTTAAATAGTTGCCTTTTTTCTTGTCCAGTGGTTCCCAATTTTTTTTTTAGTTGAGGATTAGTTAGTTCCAATCCGAAGATTTCACGGACTGATTTATACAATATCAAAATTATAAAGTAACATACTTGTTACTTACTACAATTATTTCAATTAAAACAGGAATATGTACTTATTAAAATGAAAAACAATTTGTTGAAGCCCATTCAGTCCACGAGTGATGGGACCCGACAGTTGGTGTATACGATTTTTTCATCATAATATACGTACATGAAGTTAATGATTACATGTATGTATGCTGTATATAAGGCACCTTTTTACGTACGTCTATCTGTTTGTTCTTGACAAATATTTTCCAACTTCCTAATCTCCGATTACTGTGAAATTTTTAGTAGATCTTGAGTGTACCACAGAGCATGGACGCCGAAACTGGTGTTGGCACATGTCCCTAATAATTGTAATGGAGGCCGAAATCACTGACCTCCAATATTTTACTGACAATAATGTTTTTCAAACAAATGTTTAAACAACTCTAATTATTCAATAATGTTTTTATTTAGTCTTCTTCTATGCAGTCGGCTGACTGTGCCGCCTGAAGTGAAAGGATACTGCAGTTTTTTGACAAATTCTAAACATTATGCTGTTAGTAACTTTTTGTGCATCTGTATAATGTGTACACTGGTTATTATATGAAACATTCCTATTCTTTGTATGGCATGCAATTTTGTAGTACACAGAAAATAACCTAATTTGTATTTTGAATGTATAGTTCGTTTGTTTGTTTCAGAGCAAAACCACATTGAGCCAACTGCTGTGTCCACGTACCATGGGGAATCAGACTCCAGATTTTAGCATTGTAAGTCCGAAAACTTACTGTTATTCCACCAAGGGACTTGTACGTATAATATAGTACTTGTTATTGTGTGAAATTGTTGAATAAAATTCTACAGTGTTTTATTGATTGTCAGACAATTTTTACTTATTTATGCCTGCCCCTCCCAATGTTTTGTACGTTCCATTCCGATGTACCTGCTCAAAGGAAATTTAAAATTTCTTATTCTATTAATTTTTCACATTTTACTAGCTTGATAGTAATTTCAATTTCACCTCTTGCTACTAGCTGTTATAGTGCTACTTAATGTCGCACATGTATGCCATCCATTTAAATCTAATGAAATAAATACCTCATTTGGCATAGGTACCTATGCTAATTGAAGCAAAGCATCCTGTCAATACAGCATAGAAAACTGATATCGACAGTAGTTCCTATTCTTGTAGGTTTTTATTACGTTGTCCTTTTTATCACCATTATTATTAGAATCAAACATATAGTTGGTGTGCTACTTTCCTGCACAAGAGTTGTTAGTTAGGGCCTAACAACTGGAGGTTCAGAGAATATTGAGTTATGAAGTAGGTGCTGTATTTTTTTAGAACTCCAGCTGAGTTTATCCTGACAAAAGGGATTGGTATTCAAATAACAGTCCTTATTTACAATAAACACGAAGCCCAGTGTGTTACAGTTGATGTGCAACTGGTAAGAGATGTGTGATGAAACCTTTAATATTTTCTTCCATTTTTTTTAAGCTACAAGAAAATAATTAGATGTAAAAATGCAAAATCTAAAATGAGCCTCAAAGTTAAGTTTAAAATAAAATGTAATCCGAATGATTAAATTCTATCTCCCTCGAAAGTTAGTCTGCCACAAGCTAACAACAATTTAAACTTCCTACAACTCTAAGCAAACGTTTTTCAAAAAATTGCAGACGTTACCAAAGTTGAAGTTAGAGAAATGTTATCATCCAGACAGAGTTACTAATGTTTATTTTACAGGGTCAAACATGGCTTTATATTCAAAACACGATAACATCAGCAAAGCCAGATTTGCACACGTCACCTCTGTCCACTGCAATCCGAGCGCAATTGTTTGACAGTCCACAATGACAGAAAAGACAGACAACCGTCTATCTCACCATGTTTTCTGTAAGAAAATGTGAAGGTAAGCACCTTGGGTGCTGGAAAAATGGAAGGTTGAGTGGCTTAGTTGAGGACTCTCTAAACTGAACTAAAAAAGAAAAAATCCAACTTTTAGGCATGTTTCTGGGTTCCAAATTATTACATTATTATTACGACAACTTATTTTGAAGATTTACACTAGGACACTTTCCAATTATGTTTGTAATATTATATTTTGTTTTCCATCCAAATATAAAACTGGCAGACAATTAAAACAAAACCTTGTAGTTGTACTATGTGTTTTTGCAAGCAGACGACGTTCTGAGACCTTCCATAAGGGAAGTGTATTCAAAATTCAATTAAAAGTTGTGTGTGTGTTCGGTATCTCATTACACAGGAAGAATGAACTATCACACTATGTGTTATAGGTTATTTACGAAGCTTTTAATACTTCTGGCAGCCTAGCTATTGCTATCTGAAGTTCTTTAGAGAATAATCGAACGCAGCAAGAGGCGAATGTAAATTCAATTCCAACAAGACCGTCAGCCAGTCTTGTAGTTGTAGTGTAAGTTGTAGCGTACTGGTGGTTGACTTCGTTTGATTTTATTCGTTCCGGTAAAATTATGTTTTTTTTATAAATACAGTATTATTTTTAGGATTTTATCATATGGTATAAAATATGTAACATGAGTAAATATTTATTAATTGTTTGCGAAATTAAACGCTTAAATTTTATTGTAACTGCAGTATTATTTATTATTGCTAGTACTAGTAGAACGTATAGTATTATTTAATTAGTATTAATAATAATAGTACAAGGCTTATACTAGAGTTCGGGTAGTTTAGATAATAATTAATCACAAAATAGTATTTACCGAATTTCATATGATTAAGTGATCAAAGAATTACACATTTTCGCCCAAACCTTTCACCAGAATACTAGTATTATTATTCGTATTAATGTTACATGTAATGATGTTAATAATATTTATAATGTAGTATTTGTTTGGAATTGTTTTACAAAGAGTGATTAGATAGATACTGCTTTAGTATCCCAGTGGTTTATATTTTGTTTATTGACTTACTGAAGGGCTTGCAAAGCTTAAACCTATTGGTATTATCCATAATAGGGCACGTTTCCAACCCTTTTCATTCTTCTAGCCAAAAAAAAGTCCATAACTATTTTGACTATACTTGAGTCTACTCTCTTAGGCTCATGAAAAATGGGTATGAAAAGTTTTTTTTTTGTACGATAGAGTTGATTAAATAAATTATATCCATTGAGCCCATTAGGGTCATGCCTACACCCACACTTAAAAAGCCGTAGAACTAAATACAATCAAAACTGACAAAAGGTTAATTTAAAACTAAATGTAAAAATAACTGTACAAACCTTAACATCTGGCAGATCATTTCATAAGTTTCTAACTACATGTAATTTAAAAATAATTTTTCTGAAGATCAAGTCTAGATATTAGCATTTAAAGCTTAACAGATCATTACCTTTTTCTTTTAACATTTGTGATTTTTTAAATTTCATCACTCAAAAATAAAGTAGACACCCAAAAGAATTTTAGCTATTTTCTAATAACTTAGACATTTGAATTTACTTTTTTAGTTGTATATACTCTATAGAATGAGGTTAGTCTTAAGGGTTTCTTTAGTGATCAAAAGTGTATCACATTGGTTATTGTTATAGTATTCTGTCTCTTCAAACTTTATGTTAAAAAACTCTATCCTTCCCATTATTAAGAAGCTCAAGAACTGTACCCACCATGAAGCCTCATCAAAATATTTTACAAACTTCAAATTACCATCTGTATCAAAATCAAATTACTAGCTCTTTTTTTCACCAAGCCATACATGTAAACAAAGATTAAAAAATAAGACTAAACACACATATATATATATATATATATATATATATGTTTTTTTCTTTTTGTATTTAGGATTTTTTTATACAAAGCAATTCTTTTTACACAATCCTTGCCTCGAGTACCTAACGCTTAAAACCCGTATTCCTTATTTTTGACCACTCACAGTGACTGCCGGGATTTGAAATCAACATTCTTCACAATATCAGCTTTTCCTGCATAGAAAGTCCAGGGAGGAAATTTTCCCTATAAGAAATTTGTTTAAAATAATTCAAAGAAAATGAGACTGATGTAGCCCGAGATATTTTTTTACTTTTTTTTTTCTCAACTATAATCATCATTTTCATGTCGGGACACACTATTTTTAGTCTACTGCCTGATGAAAAAAAAATAGTTTTTGTAACTAAACTTTAGGAAAAAAAGAGTAGCTACTATTACTTAATAAAAAAAGAAATAGTGTTAGATCTATTTTTACTGAAAGTCAAATTCTCATTTAATGTTTTTAATTTTACATTTAATTGTAAGCAAGTCCCATTCTGAAACCTTAAGTTACGGGTTCAAGCCTATTTTTATGTTTCTGAACTTTGATTTGTTACAGTGTTTGTACATATAAAATTCATTGATAAAAAAGTTTAGCTTTATCAAGAAAAAATTTCCATTGTATAAAATTCTAAAATAAAGACTTATAACATTGGCCAACCTCTAAAACCCAAGATTCAGCTACTTGGAGCATCCAAACATTTTTTTTTTTTTAATCTCAGCTTTACACTAATCTTCTGAAATATATAAAACTTTTTTTACTGAGAAGTTATAACTTCAGTGTTTTATAGTTATAAGTGGAATACCTGTTTTTCTTTATAGAAGATCACTGAAGTAAAATTATCTTTGATTTCTATACATTAATAACTTTTATTTAATAGTTAACTAAAGTCGCTTGATACTTTGTGAAATGACCTCTATCTGAGTCACGTTTTATGTTACTAACGGTATACACAAATTATGTAAAGTTAAATCTGTTAACTTCTATGCAAGTTCTTTTTTCTTTTGCAGGATAACATCATGAATTGTTACTTGAGTGTTTATGTTTCTGGAATACTTTAATGATGCATTTTTAGAATCTCTGTGCATGAAGAAGAAGAAATATCTGAGAATCTCCAAGTTTGTGCTGCGTTTGAAGTTTCTAGAGTCATGGCTACCGTTAACGAAGAACAGCACCAAGAGGAAAGTCAACAGACTCAATCAGTAACTCAGCTAGAATTTCACCAGGCTATGAGAGATTTCAAAACTATGTTTCCAGAGATGGATGAAGATGTAATAGAGGTGGTGCTTCGTGCTAACAGTGGAGCAGTGGATGCTACCATAGATCAGTTGTTGGCAATGAGCACTGACAATGAAAATGAACGTTTACGTACAGAGCTAGATGCCACAGAAAACGATGAAGTACCACCTTGCTACTCCCCTGCAACACCACCACCATCTTATCAACAGGCTGTCCCATATGCCCAGAGTCCAGCCCATTCTCCGGCAGCTGTTATTGATCAATCTTCGACTGCTACGATTAATTCTTCTCCCACAATACCAAGAAGACCCCAGCAGGTTCAGCCACGGTCTCAATTGTCCAAGTCATTTCTTCAACCTTACGTGTCCCAGACATTGCCCTTACCAAAGAGAACAAGTGAGAAGAGCAATCAAAAGATAGAGAAACCAAATGTACCCCTAAAGATCCTGAGAAACTGGCAACCTCCACTACTAGGCCCTCTTCCTTCAAGGTTTCTTAGGCTAGAAGAAATGAAACATCCTATGAAATATGGACTGAAAATAACTAACCAACAGTTAGTTGATAACACAACTAAAACCTAAAATTGAATGGTTGACAAGAGACTCTGCCCAAGATTATATATTAAATCAGGTTTATTTGTAAATGCATAAACAAAGACGCACACATTTCCTTTGGATGAACGTCTTTTACTTTGTGAATTGTTAGAATCGAACACTCATATTGTATCCTGCATTTCATAAAATTTAATAAGTTTGTACAAAAAAAAACAAATCCCTTTTCAAGTAAAAACACTCAGATCAACTAAATTTTTTGTACTAGTTAATTACAGAAACACACTTACTTCAACTTTTGTCTGAACGCTAGGTGCTATTTGCTGTTCTTTCTCGTCTATTTTTCTTCAGTATATTTGCCTGTGTACATCTCTTGGTTTTTCAAGCTACAGTGACTCAGTTCCTTGCCCCATTCTACTGGGCCAAACTCTCTTTTTTTTGTTTTAACTTCAGTTACTGTATCTTCTCACTCCTGGCTTGATTAGTGAGATCTTTCTGGTGTTATAGGTGCTAATCTCTGTACTTTATCTGTTTTAACTGTCCTCTTCCTTGTCTGTCATAACTTATTTTTCCTTTCCTTCCTTTATTCTGTCATTTTCTTTAAGCCAGTGTTTTTGTTTTGATTTTCTTTCTTCATGAGGGTGATACAGGTCATGGAATCTTGTTGGCACCTGTTAACTGTTTCTGATCCATAGAGATATGCAGGGATTGGCAACTCGTGATAATCTTTTTGATATTGAATTGTTATCTTGTTTTTCTTCATTTCAAGATGGAGGTTGATAGGAATTGTGTGGAAGCCACCAATTAATTTTCTTGAACATTTTGCAAAGCTCCAGAGAAGCTTTGTATAAACTGAGTAATTTACTCCAAAATGTTTTTTTGGTTAGGCATTTTCATTTTATAATTGAGAAAACTAATTGAAAATACTCAAGTTTTTTTGTAATTTGGTATTTTGAATATTTTATATAAAAGTACACTAACATTATCCTGACTTATGAAGCAAGTGGACATTCAGGAATAGACTCAGTGATTCTGATGATGTTTCAAGTGATTTTTTAATATTTTCACTTTTCATTTTAATGGATGTAGTCAACAGTTAATGAACTTGGTACAACTTCAACTTTAATAGAACTCAACAAACACATATACAGCACACAGTACCTGATGCTGTCGTAGTGTGACAAATTTTAGTCTTAAATTAGCTTGTAACACTACTGTCTAACTCAGCTTGTGCTGCGTAGCTGAAATTCATTGCTCAATCTGCAATTTTTCTTCTTTTTTTTTCAACCAGTGACGTATTGCTGGGCTCCTACTTTCATATGATCGAACATCAGCACCTAACATCCTTTTCTTCAGTAGTACGTTCAACTTTTCTGACCCTATTGAGGCACTGAATTCCTTTTTCAGGTGATTTTATAAACTGAAGCAATGCTTGTACTCCACATAAATTAATGGCATACATGGGGTTATTGATGATAAGTATGGAGCAGTTTGACTTTGTGTATAAGAATGACTCTCTTACACAGCTGAGTAGTGTTTAATTTTATTTATGTCTCTTTAATCACACCATTCAGCCTAGGCCACTCTTCCATCAGTTTCTCAGCATCCAGGAATGGCTCAACCATATTGACATGTTCTACTGTTCTCCCTTGTACATCTTTTTCAAGTTGTGTAACTCTTTGTCCATTGCCCTCAAATTCTCCCAGATGTGTCATGGCATCATCTGACTTGGGATCTGTCTCAGAGTTTACAGTCATTGGTTCAGTTACCTTGCTGAAATTGCTGGAAATATCATCTTTCTTGAATCTTTACATGATGTTATTTCTTAATAGTTTTCATGTAACATTTCTTTAAATTCTGAGATTAAGCATCCACGTTTTTACACCTAAACTAATTTTTCCAACTGTATATTGCCTAATCACCTTCTATCTGAATTCTTACTTTAATATCTCTCCATCTATAATTGTATTCTCTAACTGAACTAGAGTCTGATCTGTCGTAGGTTGAATTTCACTGAACATAAAGTTCAGTCTCTGTACATGGCAGCTTAATGTTGCAAGTTTTGTACAAAAATCTAATGCAAATGGTGTCATCAGTATAATTTTGTAGTCTTACCTATAAATTTTATGATGTAGTCATTTCTCTTAATAGAGTCAGTAAAGGTAACAGAGTGAGTGTGTATATAGAATGGTGAATACCCAAACTGAATATCTTCTTCAGCACCATTATGCTTGCCCATCATAACAACAACATTTTTGCCAAGAGAAGTACATATTGCTGTGCTAACTTTTCAAATTAATTTGCCTTACACTTGACTATACTGTGAGCACAGCCATCTACGAATTGTGCATTGCACAACAGTCTTGTGATTGGCTCTCTTGATATCACATATTAATAGTCTTTTTTTTACTGCAGTCACATCTGTACTTTCCTCAAGCATAATTGAAATTACTGAAAACAATTCAATTTTGTTGATAAGAAGACCAACTGTCAATAAATAATCAATAGATTTCTGTATGTCTTTAATAGTATCCCAACTCAGAATCAGGACTTTTCATTCACACCAATCCTTGTATGTAATGCCAACAAACCATTGATTTTCTCAGATGACATTTCTGATGTGGCTGTGTAATATAGTGTGTTAAACAATAGTATATATTGTGTCTTGTGACACTAACTGTGACATCATTTTCGAACTCAACTTCTGTTTGTTCTTTCTGACACTGTAAACATGCCTCTTTATGCTCAGTATTATCATTATTGTTGACTGTGTCATGTTTCTGGATTTTGGGAGCACCTACCCTATCCCAAACATTCTCCCAACATCCAGAAACATCTTACCTACACTATGCCAAACGTTGATGTTTCTGAATGTTGGGAGAACCTACACTATCCCAAATATTGATGTTTCTGAATGTTGAGAGTACCTACACTATCCCAAACATTAATGTTTCTGGATGTTGGGAGTACCTATACTATCCCAAACATTAATGTTTCTGGATGTTGGGAGAACCTACACTAACCCAAATATTGATGTTTCTGGATGTTGGGAGAACCTACACTACCCAAATATTGATGTTTCTGGATGTTGGGAGAACCTACACTAACCCAAATATTGATGTTTCTGGATGTTGGGAGAACCTACACTAACCCAAACATTGTTTAACTTCCTCTTTCCTTTTGCCAGTTGTCAAATTCTGCATCAAATTCATGGTTCACCATCACAATCATTAATTATTAACCAAGAATATTTCTTTTTTCCATATGGTAATGTTTTTTTGCGAGACTCAATTTCTGTCAAGAATTTCGGTTTAGAAATTCATGGACAACAAATTTTCATACAAAATCTCACTTACGATTCTGCGTTACTCGTCACAGTTTTTACCTAATATACGCCTAGTGATACCGGCCTTTTCTGAACTGCTGTATATGTTAAAATAGTCGGAAATTTCGTTCCTTTTTTTTTTTTCCCTTGGAAATTAGGCTTTATCCTTCCATGCTTGTGTATAGCTATGTTTTAATCTCCATGTTCTCACCTGATCTTGTAATTGTGAAAATAATCAGATCATTGCTAATAATTTTTATGTTCATTGGTATTAAATCATATCAAACACTTGTATAACTGAAATAATAAAATTTTGACAGGTACTGCAGAAATTATCAATGCATAAGGAGCAAAGTTTAAACAAAGAAAGATTAAAACTTGATATACTTTGGTGATAAGCTTTAATTTATCAAGACTTGCACGAAAGAGATTTTATTTCCATTTTTGTATGCTGCATTTTTATTCTGATTTATCATGAACCACTATAGTGGTACCTAACAGGGATCGTAAGGAATTGCACAAAAGCCTAATAGAACGTTCGGGTAAAAAGCACCTTAAACAGTAAAGATTCAATTTAAACAACAGTTCAAAACCTTTGCTATTGACTGCTAAAGCTGTAGACGTATAAAAATATAAAAAAAAAACATGCATGTTAGACTTACAAGGAAAAGAAAATCTACTCAAACCAGTCGAATTTTAATTATTCTTCGTCTTATTATTATTATCCTCTTTCCAGCCTACAGCAATAACGGCTTGGTATATTGCACCCAACCCTTTTGTGGAATACTAAATATCGTACTGTGAAGGCCATGGGGATATGGAAAAGTCAATTTCTTTCTTCTGTATTTTACATAAACTATAAAACATCATAATTCTAGTGTAAATGATGTTATCGTTACCCCTCGAAGTTAGCTTTCTTACAGATATCTGGTGTTCCTTTGAAAAGCTTAAGTACAGGGTGAAACAGGAATTACCAGTCAATAATAGATGAATCTAATATGTAGATACTCAATGCTTTGTACACTATACAATCAGTGTCTTTAGGGAATCAACATGATATTAAATTTTATTATACACATTCATAGAATAATTACTTTAAATGACACAAAAGTTTATTTAAAGCTATGTATTAGACATATATGTTTTATTTGAAAAGGCTGCTTTTCTATTGGTAAATTTTTATACACCCATAGTGGGGGTTGTCTCAGTGTAGGTATGTAGTTGCCTATTGCTATGCATTATATGTAGAGAGAATATAGTTACACAGAAACTGTAAGTAATCACTATATCTCTTAAACAAATCTCCATGACAATCTCCAGCTGCAGCTTAACATTTTACATCCTGAACTAATGTGATCAAATAGTCAGTAGCTACATTAAATCATCATGAACTGTAACTGCTAGCTACTAGCTATTTTTATCATCATTTTGCCAATAGTTGAGAATAAAACAAGATAATTAAAAAATTGAGAATTTAATAACCTGCAGATAGGGATTGTAAAAAAAGTAAGGAAACAAGGCTGGAGATACTGTAGGTATTATTTACTTAAACTACAAATCCCTATTTTGACTCTATCAAATGTAATTCTAGGTAATGGCATGGAGCCAAAATAGGGTTTTTTTATTTGAGTAAATAATGTCTTCAGTACCTCCAGCTTTGTTTCCTTACTTCTTTTTTTTTTTAGGATTCTGATTTGCAGGTTTTTAAACTCCCAATTTTTTAAATTATTTTAATTGTTTATGTATTATATTTTCATCTTTATGCAAACAGATTGCTTATTTGGAACTCTGCTGTTGAAAGCTAGTCCTTTTCTCCATTTATTATTTATTCAGAAAATTTCTCAATTTTATTCACTGATTTTCAGTTCTTTGCTGTGCATTTAACTTAATCATGACTTACGTTTCCACATTAATGGCTTGCTCCGTTGCTACTTGGTTAAATACTCAACTAAACATATTTCTCCTTCTACAGTAATAATTGATTTATCCTGGTGCTTATAGCAAGTTAAGTAACTCTTGTACCCTTTACAGAATGGAAACCCTACCTTCTTTTATCAAGGGCTCAGCTAAAGCTCCTCACCAAGAGAATTCATTCTGCCCTACATTTTGGTCTGAAATTTGAATTCTTAGTCAACTCTCATATGAATGTTAACTTTGTTTCTTACTCTTGACAAACTTTACATGATTTCCTCTTCACAATTAGTTTTTAGCTGTGAGGCAAAAAAGAAAAAACCTTTTATGTTTTGATGTTGCATCATTTTTTACGTGTCTCAGGACTGGAGCTCTAGGTGCAATTTAGCTTTATCTATGGACTTTAGTATGAAGACTACAGAGGAACTTCAGTAAGAATTTGGAAACAACAGAATTTCTTTTTTCTGGGTTATGCAATCAGGTAATTTCAATGTCTAAACATAGTTTTTCAATCCTTTGAATATTGCATTGTAAATGTTAAAAGTTAACACATTTAGGAATCACACAGTAATCACCATATTCATTATGATGAGGCTAGTACATTATAATTTATGAAATATATAAATGTATCCTCTTTTCTACAGTTTATCCTAATTTGTTTACACATAAAGTTTCAGACATGATTACTGTTTTATGAAGAACCTTTCTAATTTTTATTAACAATGATACAATTTTTGTGATTTCCACACACACGTGATATCTTTGATATTGAAAAACAATTATTATTTGTATGAATTTTTTTTTTATTCAAAGTTCCCCTTATTTTGCAAATTAGATGTATCTTAAAAATTGGGAAAATACTTATATTTAAAGTATTGTTTTAAACTGGTTGTTATAAGTTTTGTTCAACAAGGGTTTAGTTTACATTAAATTAACTTCTGATCAGAGTAAGTTACCAACTTAGATCAAAACTAAAAATCAATCCTGTAATGAGTATACTGTTCTTTCATTCATACTCATAAAGATTAGGATGCATTGTTTCATCAGTTGAGTACCCTGGTTGTTTGCAATATTTTTGAAAATTAACCTGTTAATATATCACAAGGTTTGGCCAACTTAGGAGATGTGGGTTATAAATCCTATACTGAGCTACAAAAGCAAAATTATCTCTGTAATAAAAGTGGATATATATATATTAAACAAGATAACCCATCATATTAATGAATGTAATGTTAAAGAAAGAATAGGGTATACTTTATTTACAGAACACATAAACACTAGCTCTTAGCTTTGTATACTGTCATAGATTGTGTCTGTTGTCCGACTTAACATCAGAATAACCATTTATAAGCAAGACTTTACACAGTCCTACCTAAAAAATAATGACCAATGAAAACCAAGTTGTATCTTAAACACTATACTTAGGCCAATTCAGCTGACAAGCCGAACTATTTTTCTTTATTTTTATTGCAAGAGTATCTGTGTATAATTCACTTATGTTGTCACTTGGGTTACCGCAGTTGTATCCTGAACTTCCAATAATTGTCTGCCTTTTGTCAAAGTCCACACAGGTGGGTTCAGTTAGTTTAGAACACCCTTTGACGAGACAAATTATTCTCCTTATCTCTTCCAAAACTGTTAATCTCACTCTAACATATCAACCATTAGGCCAGTCACTCCCATGATGGTTAACTTTAGATTTTTTTAAACTTTTTTCTGATCAAATTTTTTTCATGTGACTTTACCTTTACTCTGTTTTTGCTCGTCTGGTTGTAGCTATTTATACATCTATCACTTAGGCCTTCTATAAATCTCCATAGCCTCAACATAATGGATTGCACACAACATTCAATAGCCTCGACATCAATGAATTACAAAACACAAAATAAATAAATTAATAATACTACCTACACTAAACAGTCTTTTATATCTGACATACTGTACTACATGTTTACATTTCCCTATAATGCATTAACTTTAACATGTATTACATATTTATATTGCCATATACTGTATTATCTTCAACCTGTATTATATATTTACATTATCATATACTGTATTATCTTCAACTTGTATTACATATTTACATTACTACATGCTGTATTATCGTCATCCTGTATTACATACTTATATTACCACATAATGTATTTACATCAACCTGTACATATATACTGTACATAGTTATATTACCAATTACTGTATTATATACTTACATTACCACATAGTGTATTATCGTCAACCTGCATGACATAATTTTGTTACTAGAGTAGTCTGTTGTCCAATATAAATTACTGTGACACATGATACTGTTTAGCTATTGAATCAAGGAGTAGGACAGTACAGCAAAAACTAATGTGTTTGAAGACACAAAATAGTAAATGGTAATAAATTAAATAAATTACTAATCAACAATAAATAACTAGGATATTTGTACTTTAATTATAAAATAACCAAGTTAAATGTGATGAAAAGGAAAATAATATACTTAACATACAATGAAGTGTGTGTCTAACACAACTATTCTGACTTTAGATAAAGAAAAGTCACAAACCACATGGGCAACAGGAAGTAAGTTACTAAAGTTAAATCCTTAGTTATTACAGTTTGATAAATAGTATTGAAATTTTTCTTAGACAAAAGAATATTTAAGCAAGTAACACAGTGAAGTGAGTAATGTAATGTGATTGTTACAAGGAGCATCTGTGGGTTAATAATTATTTTGAAAAAAGTATTTCAGCCACTCTCATAATCATTTATTGTCAGGTAGCATTAGTTTGTTCCTGAGAAGTTGTTAGTAAATTAGTAACAGTAAATGGTTATATGTCTGTGTATGAAGAGTGGTAGCAGTCAGTATGGGATCATATTTTGTTGAGTATCCAACAAGAGAAAATCTAATTCCAACACAGGAATGTGTACTGTTAGGAAACATAGCAACGCTGTCAGATTAAGCTTGATTTATTATGTATGTTTTGCTGACACCACTGTTTTTCTCGGAAACATTTGTTATACTGGTTTATTCTAACTACTTGTATAGAATTCCATTTTATCATACGAATACATCTGTTTATTATAGACATTACTAAACAATGCTCTGATGGACTCAAACTCCTGCCAAAATACATATAGCTACACCATGATTGTATGGTTATTGCATTATGTGCAATATGCACCATGCCAGTGTAAAAATAAATTACTGTGGATTTGAATTTAGTAATTTGATAACCCATGAAATACTCTGAGGTTATCAAACTAGATTACTTTTGTGCATAAATTCTAAGGTGATTTTTTTTATATATCTATATATGTGTCCATGATTCTTGTGGGTTCAGTAAAGTTGTTGTAATAAAGAAGACAGTTGTTGTCAAATGAAACTGATGAGTTCCTGAGGTGATAGCTTTCCTTGAAGACTTGATGTCTTGAAGAACAAATGTTAGACATTTATTTATAATGTTTAGACGTTTTTGTATAGTTATTGTATAAGGGAAATGACTGTTTACTAAAACTTGCAGTTATGGTTTTAGCAGATTGAATATAAACCGTCAGCAAATGGTTATGGAAGTTTATTAATGTTTTAGCCACTTAGCCATGTGCAACCAAAACTTAAGTGGTTCTTAAAATCTGAATCTATACCTAAACAACAATGAACCTAAAGCCTTGATTTCTTTGCTAAGCATTTCACACCAATGTTGTTTAATGCACATACAGTAAAATGGTTGGTACGTTATCAAGGTTAGGCTAAACTTTGTACAATAATATCCTTATTCTTTTTCCTTTACTCTAAGTTTTCAGATCTATTTTACACATATTTTAATAGCTGTGTAATATTTCTATAAAATTTCATCGAAACAAAGTGTGAAACTAATAAAGTATTAGAACAATTAAATATTTGTTTTCATCTTTCAGAATGTTACAGTGCTGAGTTCTTCTGTGCTTCAACAGCGTATGGAGGAGAACGAACGTCAGAGACAACTTTCTCAGTCGACAGAAGATCCTGGCTTGTCACAGTTCTTGGAAGATGAACGAATTGCTTTATTTCTGCAAAATGAAGAATTCATGCAGGAGTTAAGACATAATAAAGAATTCATGTCTACGTTAGAAAGAGGTGAAGTGTTACTTTAAGAACTTACAAGTGACAAATAGGTTACCAAATGCTATTTTAGAAAATCTTCATCTCTATTTTATTTATTTCAGAGTCGATACATGCCGTGTTTTTAGCCCATTTAAAATATTTTGAGGATTTCTTCTACTTCATCATGTTTCAACTATGTCATTAAGCAGTTGAATTTGTTTAATTGGGCCCTTTCATGATAAAAATCACATGTGTGTTGGGTCGCATGCTCAAGTGAATTTGTATATGCGAATCACACAGTTGCTTAAATTGATGCATCATGACAGGGAAATTGCAAGAAAATATTTACTCTTTAATGTTATAAATAGCAGTTATAGATTTGATCAAAACTAAAAAAGAAGAAGAAACTACGCAATGTTCAAAAGGTTTATTTTAATATTGATTCTCTTCTTTGCTTTCTACAAAATCTTCATCAGTATCTTTTTCCTCTTTCTACTGATGTTTTTGTATTCAGTGCTCTCTGATTTTCCATAACCCTGAACAATTATTTTCAATTTGAGTTTAATGCATTTGGTTGACATTTTCTCTATTTGCTACACAAACAATCACAACAATTTAAAGATCTATAAGTAGGATATATTATTTCATCAAGAAATTAATGTCACTTTTTTTGTAGATGAAAAACCCTGAACAACTTATATATCCAAACAAAACTTTTATTAAATGAAATAGTCTCAGTTCTTATCGATGATGCTTTTCCATCTTAT